ATTTTTAAACCAATGTGTTAAATTATTTATTAATTTGAGTAAAGAAATTATTCTCTGAAACAACCTTACCAGATACCCCATTAAATCTCCAAATATATATACATATATTTTCAACAAATTTTTAGGTATATTTTATTTTTTCATAAATTAAAAGAGCTCAGTTGGGTCACTAGCTATTTTCTACATCAGTTATTGATGAATGCCTTAACACTGCACATATGAAAAAATTCTTTTTGCAGAAATAGGTGGCCTGTTTTAGGGAACAATCTACCAACACCTTATTCCTCACAGAGAAGACATCTAAACTCATAGTAAGGCTTACAAGTAATCGATAACATGAGCCAAAATATTAGCCATTTGGATAAAACCTATAATATGGAGTATGTTATCACAAAATTATCTCAGGTGAAATGAATAGTAGACATTTGAATTAAAACTAATATATAAAACATTATCAGAAAAGCACCTAAATTTTCTGAAGCAATATCCAATTTTCTAACTAAATGTGTTTATGTTAGTATATTAGGAACACTCACTGATATCAATCCAAATCACTTAGACTGAGTATGAGTATAATTCACCTACTCTGTTCTTAACTTTTCATGCCCCAAACACACACCACACACACACACACACACACACACACACACACACACACACACACACACCTAGCACAGCCTTAGTAAAATCCCATATGTTAATGTAATTTTATTAATTCACTAATTTTAGATTGTCAAACAGCTGTTATTTAAGTGTTCATCACCCGTCAGTTTATACTAAGCATTTGATATCTATTTTCCTAGTTATTCCTTACACAAAACAGAAAGTTGGGAATTATTATACTGATTATAGAAGTGAAGCTATGAGGGTCACTATTTTCATTGGTTTCTGCTGTAAATAACAGTTTCAAGTTAGAGCCCAGTTTTTTTCCTGCTGTCTTCACCAATTCACGATGCAGAGAAATATTGTTGTTTTAATTAATGACCTCAAGCTTCTTAAGATATTGTAGAGCTACATATGATAATACAAGCCAAAATTTGCCTAACTTGTAACTATAAAGTCAGATGTTTTTTAAGTTTAATGTGACCCAGTTACTAAGATAATACCCAGGATTCCCATAGAAGGCCACATTAAAAAAGTATTTATAATGTTGCATTGTGATCATCAGATCATTAAACTATTTTTTCTAAATTGAGAAAACTTCACATTACTTTAATTGATTTATATTCTACATTATTGAAAAATATGAAGCAAATTATACTGTTTATTTGATCTCGAAATGATTTCATTCTCTGTCAGTTTAAGGATGCCACTTAAGTAGCCCATAATTATTACTGGCTTATTAGTTTAAAGATTCAAGCATTAATGTATGATACTTCAATAATTTCTAAAGTAGGATTCTTAAGCAGGGTGCATTAATTCTGTGGGCTTGCATACTTTTTTATGTATGAAATATACAGAGTACTTACTATGTGGTGGGCATTGTTAAAGTTTTAAAATACTGTAAATTCTAAACTACTTAAAGTAACAGAGACAAGTAATTTTAAGAATACATCAGAATCTGTTCTATATCCTTGCCCAGAAGTATACTACATCCAGTGTTAAGCTGTATACTTGTTAGGGTTTCAATGGTAGAGCATATGTGCTTTGTCCAATACGTGGACTTCCAAAAAAGATCCCAAATTGCTAAATGTTATGAAACCTGGCTTCAACACAAAAATGAATCTAAAATTCATTTTTGTAGAGGGTGGGGGTAAAGGGAGGGGTGATTTTCCAGCCAAAGAGCAGCCATGATTGCCATCTTCTATTTGATTCTATTATTGGCTGAATATAGATTGATGTACTTGTCTCCACTGTACCAATGTATAATGCATGAACACAATTACTGGGGTAATTTGAAACAGGATGCCTTTAATCTTCTGCTCAGATCAATCAATTACAATACATAGATTATAGAATGTCCTATGATCTTACACTGAATCCTTAATAGAACTAATCTTAGAACTAAAGGGTGTTGGAAAAAAATGTGAAGCCCACAGTGATTGCTCATACGAACACAGACAATGAAACTTTAACCATCATATGTTTAATTATCCAGAATGAATGAACAGAGACCACACTAAAGTTTGTAGAGTAAGAAAGAATGCTTTGGGGAACAGAGAGTCACATTTTCTCTTGAAGAAGCCACGTTTCCACCTTTAAGGTGGAATTTCAAGGGTTTCCACACCTAGTAATCGTGAAAGTTTGTATCAGACTCATAACTAGAGACATTGTGCACTGTTACCTTTTTCATGCCAATACATCTTGTCATATGACAGAAAAATGTGTTTAAACTGCATTTGGAAATGCCCATTTCCCTGTAAAGCAGTATTCATTCACTGAATTTACACGTAATTTGAAAAAATATATTTGCCACCCAACCTTGCTCTAACTTAATGTTATGTTACTATGCCTTTATAGTGTACATGAAACTTTAATTGCAGTGCACACAATGTATGGTGTAATCATTTGTTTTTGGAGCCCTTGATGCATTTTGGGAGGAATACATTTGAGCTTGGGTTTAACTAAGAAGCTAATTAGAAAAAGAACGTATTTTAGAAATGGGCAGCTAATAGCGTTCTGTGTTTCTGTGGACATTCAGTGAAGACAAGTAGTGTATTTGAATATATCAGGGACACTCGCCTGAGTTTGCAGTTCTGTTGTCTGTGGAGTGTAGACAAGAGTGCAATTGCTAATGGCAGAGTCAGGGTCAGCACCATGGATAGCTCCCCACGTCTAGTACCTGGGAGAGGAACTCGTTGTTTCACAAGCTTTGCTGCAGCTAGCAGCTAGTGATCAGAAAGATCTGCTTTTACTGAAAACGGGGAGAAAATAAAGCCATACATAGGAGCAGCGTGCCTATTTATATTCCGAGCGAGGGAACTTTACGGATTCAGGAAAGCTCAATTTACCAAAAGAGCCTAAGGGTTGTCATAGAGTGTTTTATGTTTTTTGTTTTCTTTTTTAAGTAAAGCTAATTAACTGGAAAATTCAACATTCCCAGGCAAATGTCTCTGATTTATTTTAGTTACTTTGATATGAAAGATTGATAATTGTTATTTTTTTTCTTGGCTCGTGTTTCCTGGAGCAGAAATTAAAAGTTCTGTTTATTTCCTCTTTATTTATTACAATCCACACGATCACCTTCCTAATTTAACCCTCCTTCTCAGCCCTATGCCGTTCCATTCTCATTTTCTTTTTCACTTAAGGCTTTAATGTTGGAACTGAAAAAAAATATGAACTCGAGTTATTCAAGGCACAGGGAGAGCAGGCTAAAGGACTGCAAGAACACCCAAAACTCTATTATGCAAGTAGGTGTTTTGATAGGACTTTATCATCGGTAGAAACTAGATCAGTAGTGGTGGTAAATTCCATTAAGAGAAAGGGGCGTGGAGAAAACTGACTGTTAGGTTAAAGGAAAGGGAAAGAAGCAATAAAAACTAGGAAAACAACTTAGAAAACACCACCCCCTGGCATGGCTTGTCATATGATTTCTCAAATCCCCAGGACTTATTTGGACAGAAGGATATGTATACCACGAGATTCCCGAGTTAGCAGGATCTGAAAATCAAGAACACAGAGGACTAGTCTCTCCCTTGAACCCTTTCCTGTCCTCTACGAGATGATTTCTTAACAAGGTATAAGAGAGCAGAACGGTGTGCCTACAGTGTTCAGGAGATGAGTGGCATGGGAGGTCACAACAAGGCTGGGAACTCTTAGCCCCACCCACCTTTTGTTCTTTCCCCCTCTCGCCCAGCCTCATCCATTTCAAACTCTTTCCTTGTCTTGTACCAGTTGCTTGCACAAGTTTTTGGCTTTCCCGTCTTTCTCGCAACCTCCGAGAGAGACCTAATCAACCCCAAGTCTTGGAACTCCTCAGAGCTCAAGCAGTGAAACTGGGCATGCTCAGCGGCGGAGCCAGCAGCCTCCAGTCTTTCGGAGGCGCGGCTCAGCGCCGGGTTGGGACAGGAGTGCCAATTCAGCGTAGGCTTCAGCGCCCACCTCCGCCGCCGAGCCCAGGGATCCGAGCTGCTCCCTGAGGCGAAGCCTGCACCCTTAAGTGGCTCATCCTCAGTCTTCAACCTCCTGAGCCACCAGAGCTTAGAACCACCAAAGCTTCACCCAGGAACTGTTTCTTCCCACCTGTCTTTTCTTTACGGCTAAGGGTGTTTTAGCTACTGCGGCGTGAGGAGCTCAGGAATGGGGCCCTGTGGCTGCTGGCCTCAGAGATCACCTTCCCAGTGTAGCTGTTTGTCGCTGAGTTTGGGAGATTTCTTGGCTGGCTTCCGCTAAAGCACGCTTGAGTAATCCGAGCTGTGGCGGCGCTCAAGCTGCCGGGATAAAGGGAGCGTGTGTGCGTGTGTGTGTGTGTAGGGGGAGAGGGCGGGGATAGAAACGTCAACCATCCCCCCCCCCCCCCCCCAGCCTCCTTTTCTTTCTCCCCTTCCTGCAAAAGCTGCACAAGTCTCTCATCCCAACCCCCTTCTTCCTCCACCTCCCACACCCCCCCCTCCCCCCAACAGCTATCCTTACAGCTCTGGGCAACCGCCAGGTTAAGCCCATTTGCACTGGGAAATTGACGCTGTTTGGGAGAAGAGAAACAGATCGATTGCCCTTGTGACTCCCCGCCCCCTCCCCTCCCCACCCCCACCGCTCCCTCCTTCCTTCCCTCCCCCGCCACCTCCCCTCACCCCGCCTCCTTCCCTCTCCCCACCCCCAAAGCCTCTCACCCGCGGCAGTCCGGTGCGAGGTCCCCTCCAGAAGGTGAGGGGAATGGATTGGACTCCGGTAGGGAAAGCGGGTGTCTAGAAGTGGTGCTAATGGGAAGAGATTTCTGGTTTCAAAAGAGGATGCTCAGCCACAAAGAGCGACTCGCGCGCTGGCCTGGGCTCTAGCCGAGGAGAGATCCCGGGAGAACTCCAGAGCTCGCGGGGAGCGCTCCTCGGAAGACCGGGGTCAACATGCCTGTTCGCAGGGGGCACGTGGCACCACAAAACACATTTTTGGGGACCATCATACGGAAATTTGAAGGGCAAAGTAAGTTCATTTGTTCTCTTCTCTCTCCCTCGCTTTTCGCTTTGATAGTGCACTTGGCATCTGCCTCCAAGCTGAGGAGACTCGGGGCTCCGAAGTTCAGAGACTGTGAAACGGAGCCAGGAGGTTCAAATGGCAGCGCAAGTGTTCTCCCCGTGATATTAATTTTGATTTACGTTTTAGACTATGGTCTCCATTATAGGAGGCAATTTGAGCCTCCTCTCCCACGGCTCCATTATCTGCCTTGCTACTTAATGCCCTACTCTTCTACTATCTTAAAGGGAACGTACTAGTGTAACGGGTTTATATTTCGTGGCTGTTTTATTGTAGACTTTTTGAAAGTCAGGAGCAGGGCAGAGCACACTATTGGGACGAGAGAGAATGTAAATGGTAGCAGCGATGTAAATGTCTATGCAAGCTATATTTTACTTCGGTTAAATTGCAAGACTGTGGTGTGACAGGGATGCTTGCTTGCTGCTAGTTTATAGAAGCTAAACTTTGCATTGAATCCGTGCAAATCCCAAGCAGGAGAATTTGGGGAAAGCAGTATCTGATCCACGTTGATTACCGAGGCAAACAGTTCATTCTTTGAAGAATATTTTTGTGCCTTTATTACCCCCTTAAATTTCCACTAGAAATTTAAAAATTAAACTGTAATAAGTAAATCCCACAAAGACTGAATGCAGAGAAATTTAATATTCTCATGTGTACTAATTATAGGGAATAAATTATTAATATATAAATATATTGATTTTAGATCCTACACTAGTTAATTTATATCTGACGTTTCCTTTAAACTCCATTAACACACATTTAATGTTGTACATTGTGCAGTTATTTTGGTGCTGCATTTAGTGGCAGGAGGATATAGTACCTTGTGTTCAAACGAAACTTATATATCCTGCTTTGTATTTTATTTGGGAATAGTAAATATAATCTATGATCAAAATTAAGAAGCCTTTTGTATTAAAGTCCCTACTACTACACAAAAATGTGAGGTCACCCAAAGTAAAAGTGAAAAGGTAGCTAAAATGGCATTTACTGTGTGTGTGTAAATATTTTTGTCCTCTGAGTAATATATATTATGAAAAGGTGAACTTTTGCATTATTGAACTGCTAATTAATGTGAAATAGTTTCATTGCTAGTAGTTTCAGGATTTGTTATTTTTAACATGATGTGTGTCATATGCCTTAGGGAGCCAGAGGAAAACCAAATCCAGGAATAATAACTGCTTTAAGAAAGTTGTACTCTGAGGGCCAAGGCTGAAGTGAGGAACCTGACAGCTACAGGATGCTCAGTGTTTGGGCTCTGAAAATCTTTACCTTACAATTAAACGGCATTCTGGAAATATCGGTGTTCCAGTTGCTTGTCTGAGTGCTCATTAGGACCAAAGAGAGTTATAGGGCTTGAGAACTAAACTATTTGGGAAATGATACTCTCCAAATTTGAAGAAAAGCTTCTTAGTACTTTTTGTTAAAACTACTCAGGGGACCATTCATTTCAGTTTTAGGGTGTCTGTGTCCAGGCAGTTAGTGATTTGGGAAGTACCTGCATTTCAGATTTCCTGTTATGCAACAAATTGTTTCACTGTTTATAAGAATCTTGAGGAAGCTTTGTAAACGGTACCATACTCTCTTCTTATTACAGATAAAAAATTTATCATTGCAAATGCCAGAGTGCAGAACTGTGCCATCATCTACTGCAACGATGGGTTCTGTGAGATGACTGGTTTCTCCAGGCCAGATGTCATGCAAAAGCCGTGCACCTGTGACTTTCTCCATGGGCCCGAGACCAAGAGGCATGATGTTGCTCAAATTGCCCAGGCATTGCTGGGGTCAGAGGAGAGGAAAGTGGAGGTCACCTACTACCACAAAAATGGTAAAGTTGATCTTTTTAGGATTCCTTGTATTTTAGTCCATTGAAATGAAATTTTGACAGTTGATTACTGAAAGTTTATAGGCAGAGAAACCCCAAATAGTCAGTTGAAGATACATGATTTGTTTATAGTGTTGCAGCAATCAAGGAATGTGGAGACTCTCCTCAGTGGATAGTAGGGACAAGTTATTTTTTGAATGAGTACTCTGTACTCTTAAAAAGTGGAGTAACTTAATGTCACTGAGGACAAAATGCCACAAATCAATCTCGCTGTTCCCTAAGGAATAAAGTCTAGTAATTTACTAGTTGTTGTGTTGATATGCGTTTGGTTGGAGAGAAATACAGAGTTTTATTTCAAGTAAAGACTTACAGACAAAACAAAGTCTTACAGAAAAATGTCTATCTGAAACTAAAACTGTTATACTTACAAATATTTCTTGGCTCTTCAGCTTTATTTGATAGGCAACACCTTTTGTTTCTTTTGATGCTTTTTATGCAAGATTAAGGATGACACATAGGAACTTATAAAACTGGTCTAGTAAACCTTTGTATGTTCAAATAATAGTCTATTCATGTATTAAAGATTTATTCTAAAATAAGAAATGGAGAAAAGAAACTATGATATGTAGAATTATTGGTATTCATTTTTACAGCTGAAGCAAAACTGGCATCTGAAACTTAAGGTCAATACCTCCACTTCAAGGGCACTTCTCCTTTTAGGATTGCTTTGGGAGCATAAGTACATTAGACCTCTAATAGTTCTCAAAGAAATACACATTTAGTGGGCATGCATTCTTTACATATATAAAACATATATATATATGTGAACTTATGTGTATAAGTATTCAGATATACCCATTTAAAGTATATACTTTCTCATGGATACACTTAATCATATCTGACAATTTGAAGCTTAAAAGCAAATAGATTAAAAATGAATGTTATAGGATTTGTTGATATTATATTATCATTTTTTAAATTCTGTTGTTAGAAATCAGTGAGGCAGAGGGGTATCTAATCAGATATTTAGGTAACTCTTAAAGTTTATAAATGAGTGATGTGTTATAATGACTCATCATTTGGTAAGATACATTCTAACAGGGAAAAGGTTTAGCTCTTCCTCCTATTTTCTTATAATTAAATATTTCATGATAGAAAACATACAATTATTAAATTACTAGATTATCCTTAACATCCATTTGAATGGGTATGAGTAACAAAGTATGACTGGAACAGGTCTGTATAACTTTGGATTAATCTGGAATGAAACCAGTTATATCATTATCAAACAAATAGAGTTTTTTAAAGTTCCCATTTCCCCACTACTTTTTAATCAGGAGGGTTGGCATACTAGAAATAGCCTAATTGCTCTGTTGTCTTGAAAGCATTTCTTGGACGGAAGCTCTCACTACCTAAATGCAGCTCATCTTCTTTGGGTGTGTATCTGATGCCAACAGTTTGGACTTTTGGAATAATTTGCATGTCTTGACATTTTGCCCTTATGAATATCTATCATGATGTCCCCACTGTCTGTATTGTGGTTACTGTAAGGTGTATTGGGCATAATATTTTCTGGTACATTTCAGAATTTTTTCAGCTTATACAATTTAAGTATATAATGAATCTGGACTATATAGTTCACTTAGATAACTATAATTTTCAAATTATATTTTCAGATAGAAAAAAGTATTCCTTATTAAGCTGTAAGTAAAATGGTAATGTTTTGAAGCCTAGTTTATTTTCTACAATGTGACTGTGTAAAATGGTCTCAAACCAATTTTAAAAAGCATTTTAATGTGAAATCACAAACATGGATGTAAAAATTTCTACAGTGAAGATGCTGGTACATTGACTAATGCAAGTCTTTCTGTCAGTGATTGCTTGGTTATAATGAATTAAAATCTCCTTGTTTTAGACAAGGAGTCTTTATTTGGAAGCTTGTTTAGACATATAAATATCAACTTTTGTTGATAATTTTGATTCTGTTGGCTTCATTTTAACATGTGACTCAGTCTACAAGGACTTGAGTATCTTTAGAATCAATGACAAATGCTGCCTGTTTTGCTTTTTTTGATTTGGGGAACATGAGGTGATGGGCCAAGCTTTTTTTTTTTTTTTAAAGAAAAATATTAATTTGAATGACCTTTGTAAATTGAGAAGACACAGTCAGATTTAATTTCTCTGAATGTAATCAACTTGTGTTTTTCTACTAATACAGCTGCTTTGAATAGAATCTTCTGAGTGTATCGGTTTTATTCACGTAGCAACTAACAAATCAGTTAGAGCTTGTGAAGTTCAAATGCTTTGAAAGTCTCGCCTCTTAGAGACCTGCCAGCCAGCTCTACATTTATAAAAGCAGGGAAGGACAACACTAACATTTTCATTGGTTTGTTTCTGAAAGTTTCCCTAAATCTTTGTTATTGAGGTCATTTACTTTTGGCAGGTTCTTGGTTTCTTACGTATGCATGGTAAATGCCTCCTTTACTTATTCTTTATTTAGCATTTCACTGGAGTATGAATTGTGATGCGGTATGCACAATGAGCAAATTTAACAAAAAGTTGAGATATACTATTTTCCATTCACTCACATTGGAGTGGCAAAAATATAAGCATAGCCCCCTTATTTCTGAAAGATTGTTTCCCAGAGTGGCCCAGAGGCTCATAAGAAGTTTAAACTTTTGATCTGGGTGATGAGTCCATGTACTTAGGTGTAGGTGAGCCACATGGTCACCATTGTGAAGCAGTGCTTCCTACCATACTCCTTCCGGTGAATTTTTTTTTTTTTTTTTAACCAGGTACAACTGGGCTTGCTGTTTACCAGAATATCAGTTTTTATAAACCTGGTTATTTGCAGTAAGACTATTTGACAGCCCTTCCTTTGAGGATTCTATTTTACAGCTTAAGTCATTATTGCATAAATTGTTCTTGGCAGCTGTGAAATATTGCTTGAGGTGATAAAGCTGTAAATCTTTTGACATGAAACTCTAATTATACAAAACTATAATTACGCTGAAGCTTATATAAGGACAAGCATGTATTTTAATAGCATAATATGTGCATTTAAAAAATACCTTTTTAGAAAAAGTGATTGAAAAATAACAAACACTTCAATTATTAACCCACGCATAGTTTGGAGATGATGTTAGTGGCAAGGTAACAGAAGAACAATTTAGTTGGTCATCCTTTAAGTTACTGCTCATCTGGTTTGGGGTGTGTCGTGGAACAGAGCTGGCTAGTTGAAGTGCTAAACCATTTCCATCAGATCTGCGTATGTAATTTTTACCTTAAATTATCAAGCCACTCTAAACACTTGGAAAGATCAAAGTGAATTTCTCCAAAAGAAGTAAAGGTCTTACCTCAGTAGAAAAACAGGACTTAAAATGCATTACTTTTAGAGGTTTTCTGTATTTTTGCCACTGTACTTTCAGACATAGTGCAAAGACAGTTTTTTTGTTGTTGTTGTTAGCAAATCAGAAATGTCCCTTTTTTTGTGTTGCTTCTAAAGGACTAAATGATGAGAAAGGGCTGAGGGAAGTCTTTTCCTGATCTACACAGGGACCAGATACAGACAGGGCACTAGTCATGTTGTAAAAAGTGTGAAAGTCGCTCACTCATGTCTGACTTTCTGCGATGCCATGAACTGTACCCCACCAGGCTTCTCTATCCCTGAAATTCTCCAAGCAAGAATACTGGAGCGGGTAGCCATTTCCTTCTTCAGGGGATCTTCCTGACCCAGGGATCAAACTCCCATCTCCTATACTGGCAGGCAGATCCTTTACTGTCTGGGCCACCAGGGAAGCCCAGTCATGCTGGGACCAGTATAAAGTTCCAGAGGTATCATTTGATTCAGATCAACTCAAGAAAGGTTTTGGTTTGATAACACTGAATCTACCGTCTCTAAGAATTATTTGAAAAGACCTTATAGAAAATGCTATGTTGTTAGGAGTAAAAGTGAAGATGCACACGGAGTGCCACCTCTCTCTAGGCACCTGAGAAATAGTAGGAGGAGATGTGAAGGGTTATGCAACCTTATCTCTACTTTCAGGATGTTTTTATCATAGGGTGACTAAAGTTCATTTCTATCTTCTAAATCCCAAGATGTTTTCTTGAAATTATTTTTAAAGAAAAAAAGACTACATAGACTACGAAATGAAGAAGCTTTTATATAAATGAAGAAAAGAATTTAGGGTTAATTACCATTCTTTATTCCTCAAAGCTCAAATAAACTTGTATATTTCCTCTTATTTTTTTCCTTTGTGCATAATACAGACTTATTAAAGAAGCCATGAAGTTTAGTTAAAATTTTAATAGCTCAAAATAAATTTCACAGTAGCTTTATAAAGTTATATGGCATGTAGATATTCAGATCTCTTAATTCCTGAATTGTGTAGTAGAGATAAAGATTGTAGTTTTGAGAGGAAAATTGAAGGGTATTTTGTGTGTGAGTAATTCAAGCAACAAGAAAGTTTGCCAGGGAGCATCTTGCCTAGAATTTGTTTTGATGTTCATTTAAATTTTCAGTTTGTACATTTTTCTGTTCTGTCCAATAGTATTTAGTAACAAGAGTAACATAAACTACATTTTCTTTTACATATCTAAATTTCATTGGGCTTCCCAAGTGGCCCAGATGGTAAAGAATCTGCCTGCAATGCAGAAGACCCAGGTTTAATTCCTGGATTGGGAAGATCCCCTGGAGAAGGGAATGGCTACCCAGTCCAGTATTCTTGCTTAGGGAATTCTATAGATAGCTAAAGTCCTTGGGGTTGCAAAGAGTATATTTCATAGACTCTAGTAGTTATTTTATAGTATTTAGATTTGATCAATTGTATTTGTTGATAAAATAAGATTTCTCAACATTCCTTCTCATAGTTTGAAAACTTTACTTCATTTTCCAAGTGAAAACAAAATATCCTAAAAATGTGGGTGTGTGCTGTTCACCTCTAAGCAGGTTTGGTACTAGAAAGAAGCTGAATTGTCTGCCAGCCTGAGAAATAACTGCTCAG